ATTAATTTCTTTCTATTTTTAGTAGAGACGGGGTCTCGCTCTTGCTCAAGCTGGTTTCGAACTCCTGAGCTCAAACAATCCACCCGCCTCGGCCTCCCAGAGTGCTAGGATTACAGGCGTGAGCCACCACGCCCGGCCTAAGCTATTGATTTTTAAGCCTAGATAAACTTCAAAAGCTTTTCCTCAGTCAAAGTACCAAACAGGAAACAAACAAACAAAACAGCATTGGTTTTTAAGTCTGGTTCTTAAACTCACGTGTTTTTGGCTTGTCCATCCTGGAAGCACATTTGTCCCACCAATGCAGCAGACTGGTCTCCCAAACACTAAAAGTGTAAATGACAATAAGGAATACTAAGACAATATTATTAATTTCCTTTTTAGAAGAGCTATAAGATTTACTTTTCCTTTTTTATTTATCAAGGAATGAATTATCTATGTTTCTTGCATTCCCTCCATTTGGCCAATTTTTTTCCCATTCGTTAATACCCCTATGAGATAATAGGTATAGGAAGGGAGAGTTAGAATGAATTTATTCAAAAGATTCTCAGTGGCCCATACTGAGTCACATAAGAACAAAAATTGGCCAATTGTGCTACTCTTACTTGTTTTCCCTAGTTTAGAAAAGGGCAGACTGATGAACTAAGATAGAGGAGGAAAACCATAACATGGAAGGGGGTAGGGATGGGGAGACGTTTGGTGATGAAACTTACCCCAGATATTGGCACACCTTCCAAGGCCCCAGCTTTCTAGTAAAATTTTAAAAAAGGATTATGAGTAATCACAAACTTTTGGTTCCACGAACATAACTGCAACAGGAATGAACATAAATAACAACGTGCCAGAGGATGTGGGCAGACAAGACAAAGAAAGTGTTTCAACTACATGAGTGATACAGAGACAGATACTAGAAGTATTCCTAGAACAACAAGGGACATGGTATTGGAGAATGAACACTAAACGTTGGACTGGGAGTCAGGAAACATGGGCTCTACTCCTGGTTAGTTAGTGTTAAGCCATGAACAGGCCACTGAAACCTCTCTTACACTTCAATTTATTTATCTACAAAATGGGGACTGGGCTACATAATCGCCAAAGTCCGTTAGTGCTTTGCTATTATTGTCATTATTCAGAAATGACTAACATATCCTTTAAGTAGCCATCCAACCAGCATGGAACATATTTATCTTGGAAGGCTGTATTTCAGCAACTTTTCTTTCTACTCAAGCTGCTCTTGACATAAATAAGAAACACAAGAGTGTTCAGGTATTAGATAGTATTTGCTTATAGCAAACATCATTCTTCAAATTTAGATAAGCAACATATGTCATGAATAGTGATTTTTATTTTCATTATTTGGCCAGCATTCTAGGAAGAAAAGTGAGATTTAAGTGGCAAACTGTAGATATTAGAAACGAATTTTTTAAAAAAAAAACATACAATAACTCAAAGCAATTTTTACTGATGTTAAGGAATTAGGAAAATTAAGAAATGTGATCCCTGAAGTAGGGGTGATGTGCCAGGAAGACCACCAACTAAAGCTTTGGATTGACTCCTTGGTCTGTAGTCTTAGAGCAAGTCTCCCTTGCTCCAGGAGGTTTAGCACCCTATCTGTTAAAGTGAGGGTAAGAATAGACTCCACCTCACATGGCTATGATGATAAGGAACTAATAGCATATATGTAGAAATCCTTTACAAAATAGAAAATGCCCTCTACATAGCTGGTATTATTTTATTTCTTTCATGCTTTCTGGTTAATTCAAAACCCGCCATTTTTATTTATTGTATATAGTCTTTGAAAGCATGAACCTGGATACTAAGTAACGTATAAATTTCATAAAAGGCTTAAAGTGAATCAATAGGAAACCTTGAGGCTGTATATCCTGATATATTTAAATACTAAAAGAAGTCTTTGCTTATAATTTCGAAATGAACAAACTATCAGCAGGATCTACCCTGTGTGTTCAGGCACGTAAAGTGCTCCTTTTTCTTCATGGGGAGGGACGCCTGAAGGATTCCTGGGACATCCTCTGATGAAACATGCAGAAAAAGTGACAGTGCATTTCCAACTAACTGCTCTGAAAAGTTGTTCAAAATATCATTTAAGATAGATATTTATAACATTTAAAAACTATATCTAATTTCCCTATTATGCTAAAGCCCAAAGTACATCACAAATGTACTTTGTAATGGGAGCTTCAGAATCTCTCATTCCAGGAAACTGCCTTAGTCTTTTATTTTAGAAACATCACTCTCAGTCTTATAGAAAATTTATAAAATAAGATTAAGCCTTTTTTAAAAAAAATTAAAATCTGACTAGAACTTAAAATAAGTTGGAAGATCATGGAAATTCTAGATACATCTGTTTAGTAAATGGACTTCTGTTTGTCTAAAAATAAACGGAAATGCACTGTATCTTTTCCAAATGAATAGGTACATAATTGGTGGTCAACCTACTCACCAGGCTATGAGAGATTTTCTATAGTCAGCAAGGGAAGAAAGAGGGACAGAAGCACAATAGTTTAAACTTAAGAAAAAACTAGGCCAGTTAAATGTTTTTTTCCAACCATCCTCTGAAACTATTTCTCAAAAATAGTTTCTTTTTCCCTGACCCAAGTCAGTCTATTGACAGCTATGAAATGTTTTCCTTTCTTTCTTTTTCTTTCTTTCTTTTTTTATTATCTGTACCATCTTCCAGTCTGAGACAGCTATGAAATTATCGAAGCACTTTTATTATAGATAAGCAGTGACTATGCCTACTTCAAGAAATTTCATGTTGCCTTAAAAAGCTTTATTACAAGTGAGACAGTTAAAAATTCTTGCTTAAGCTTTATCCAGAGAATTTAGGGATCAACTCTAAAATCCTCGTAGAGGTTTTTCATTACTGATATATTTTTTTTTCTTTTTTTTTTTTTTTTTGAGACAGAGTCTCACTTTGTTGTTCTGGCTAGAGTGAGTGCCATGGCGTTAGCCTAGCTCACAGCAACCTCAAACTCCTGGGCTCAAGCGATCCTCCTGCCTCAGCCTCCCGAGTAGCTGGGACTACAGGCATGCACCACCATGCCCGGCTAATTTTTTCTATATATTTTTAGTTGTCCAGCTAATTTCTTTCTATTTTTAGTAGAGACGGGGTCTCGCTCTTGCTCAGGCTCGTCCCTCAAACTCCTGAGCTCAAACGATTGATCGGCCCGCCTTGGCCTCCCAGAGTGCTAGGATTTACAGGCGTGAGCCACAGCGCCCGGCCTCATTACTGATATATAACCATAGACTCTCAATGATGCACTCTCAGTGTACAATGATGCACACTTTTTGATGAAACTACTTTTTTCTGGGTTTCAATAAAAGCAACAGTAAAAATGTCCATAGAGAAACCAATTTAATTAGCAATCCCAAATCAGAAAGACTGTTTGCTTTCAGTTTCTTCGTAAATTTTGCTCAGGTGGACAAAGAATCAAATATATAACATAATCTGGCCATTAAAAGAGATTCAACAGGAAAAAAAGGGGGCCACTAAAATGTGAATAGTCTGGCCGGGCGCGGTGGCTCACGCCTGTAATCC